GCCAGCATTGGAATTTTGGAAACTGAAGCCCATACCTCTTAGTTGACAAAGTAGACCACAAACCACTTCTTGGTAAGATAGAAAAACATGGGATAGACAGCATCATCATCATCAGATGGATTTGTAACTGGCTAGAGGACATGACCAACCACATTCAATGTGTAGTCCTTAATGGAACTATACCTACATAAGGGGAATTATGCAGTGGGGTACCCCAAGGCTCTGTTTTGGGCCCAGTACTCTTCAACATCTTCATCAATTATTTGGATGAGGGAATAGAAGGAGAACTCATCAAATTTACAGATGGTACCAAATTGGCAGGAATATCCAACACTTCAGAGGATAGGCTTAAGATACAGAAGGATCTTGGCAGACTTGACCATTGGGAGCTATCTAACAAAATGAAATTCAATGGTCAAAAATGTAGGGTTCTACAGAAAAACCAAATGCACAAGTATAGTATAAGTGGTACTTGGCTCAACAGTATTAACTGTGAAAGGGATCTTGGCATCATAGTGGACAATCACTTAAATATGATCCAGCAGTGTGCTGCAGCTGCCAAAAAACACCACAGTTTTAGGCCTGTATTAACAGAAGGATAAAATCAAGATCACATGAAGTGTTAATACCACTTCATAATGTCTTTGTAAGACCATACTTAGCATCCAGTTTTGGTCACCACAGTGTAAAGATGTTGAGTCTCTAGAAAGAGTGCAGAGAAGAGCAACAAAGATGATTATGAGATTGGAGTCTAAAACATAAATATATATTTTATTTTAAAAAAGATGCTACATTTATTAGAATTCAGTAGCTTGCAGTTCCAGTTTTAGTAATAATTAAAAGCAACACAACAAACTAGTGGAAATATGTACTCCTGTCTATTACATTGAACATACTTTTGAAAATAACCCACTTTCTATTTCTTAGTGGCATTAAAAATTAAAATATTGTGTTAAGTATACATTAAAATTTCCAAATATATTTCAAAATCTCGCTCCTCCATTACTCTAAAGATATTTATTTCATTGCTTCAAAATGTCTTGAATTGTACGTCTCTAACTTATTTCCATCTTTAATTTCATTTGACATTAAGTAAAAATATTGTCATTTCTTATTTTTAAAAGATAATTACTAGCTTCATATCTGCACTTTGAAAGAACTTCATTTGGTTTTATCTTATGATCTTTCAATTCTTAGATAAAGGTCTTTTGGTCCCATTTTATAATTAAAAACATAAATAGTTTTAATGTTTTATTGTGGAAGAATAATGTTGCTTTTGTCTAACAAGCCAATGTAAGAACTTGGGTTTATAAAGTGACTACAAAGCAAAAGTTAAATACTTACAGTTGTAAGAAGAGGAGATGGCTGTAATGACAAGCATATTTTGCAAACTTGGGAAAGTTCTTTTGATAGATTATAGAAAGACAGTGCTACAATACACTCAAGTTGACACATCCAACAGGGAATTGCAACCAGCCATCTCAATTTCCATGACTAATCTTAACAAGCATGGTGTTTTTTATTTCTAAATATTACTTATATTTTTCTAGTATGTTAGGGACCCTCGTATGATAATATTTCTGCTTATCTATTACTATAATAGTGGGGGAAAGCACAATCTTATTGAAACGTGTGTGTGTGTGTGTGTGTGTGTGTGTGTGTGTGTGTGTGTGTGTGT